GATAAAACTTTGGAAGTATTTAAACACTATAAAACTGACGTTGAAAATCAACTTGAAAAAAAGATAAAGGCAATTCGTAGTGATCGAGGTGGAGAATATGTTGTACCGTTTGAAAAATTTTATTCAGAATCGGGAATTATTCATCAAACAACAGCAATATACTCACCTCAATATAATGGTGTTGCAGAACACAAAAATCGAAAACTTAAGGAAATGATAAATGGAATGTTGATTAATGCATGCTTTCCTCAAAACTTGCGAGGGGAAGCTATACTTACAACAAATCATATGTTTAATAAAATACCACACAAGAGTAAGAATGAATCACCTTACGAGTTATGGAAATTTCGAAAACTTTCCTACAAATATCTTAAAGTGTGGGGGTGTTTGGTAAATGTACAAATACCTAAACTTAAACAAGTAAACATTGGACTTAAGACAATTGATTGTGTCTTTATCAGATATACAAACAATAGTAATGTATATCGATTTTGGTTCATAAAACTGAAATACTTGATGTAGATATAGGTATCATCATTGAATCAAGAAATATTGTATTCTTTGAAGATATATTTTCTTATAAATAGAAAGAAGTAAGTTCACACAAACGAACTTATGATATTGCTATTAGAAACTATCAAGAAGATAGTAATCACCAAGTAGATGAAGAACCAAGACGCAGTAAAAGGTAAAGGATTTATAAGACCTTTGGTCTAGATTTTCTAACATATCTACTAGAAAATGATCCAATGACGTATAACGAAGCAATGTCCACTTCTGAAACTCCTTTTTGGAAAGAAGCAGTTAATAATAAAATCAAATCCATCTTGAATAACCATACTTAAAAATTGGTTGAACTTTCTCACGGAAACAAAGTTTTAGGCTGAATTAATAGATAAGTATAAGATTAGATTAGTGGCCAAAAGATATAAACAAAAGGAAGGACTAGATTTATTTGATACCTATTCACCGGTTACAAGTATAATGTCTATACGTGTATTGATTGTAATTGTTACAATGCATAATCTTGAAATACATCTAATGGATGTCAAGGCTGCATTTCTAAATGGTAAATTAGAAGAAATATATATAGAACAACCTAAAAGTTTTGTTACTCCGAGAAATGAGAATAAGGTATATAAGCTTGTAAAATCATTGTATGGATTAAAATAATCACCGAAGCTATGGCATGAAAAATTTGAAAAATTTATGTCATCAAATGATTTCAAAATTAATGAATGTAACAAATGTCTTTACATTGAAACCACACTTAACAAATACGTGATCGTATGTCTATATGTTGATGATATGCTAATCATGAAAAATAATTAGAACATTATTACCTCGACCAAGAAAATGTTAGTAAAACGTGTTGACACGAAAGATATGGGAGTAACTGACGTGATATTAGGAATTTAAATCTCTAAAACATTTGACGATTTGTCATTGTCTCAATCACGCTATATTAAGGCTATACTTAAAACTTTTAAGGTGTATGACGATAAATCAGTTAAAATAATAGTGGACTTAAGTTTACACTTAGCCTCTTAAAAATTGGTTGAACTTTCTCACGGAAACAAAGCTTTAGGTTGAATTAATAGACAAGTATAAGGTTAGATTAGTGGCCAAAATATATAAACAAAAGGAAGGACTAGATTTCCTCGATACCAATTCACCGGTAACAAGGATCACGTCTATACGTGTATTGATTGTAATTGTTGCAATGCATAATCTTGAAATACATCTAATGGATGTCAATACTGCATTTCTAAATGGTAAATTAGAAGAAATATATATAGAACAACCTAAAAGTTTTGTTATTCCGAGAAATGAGAATAAGGTATATAAGCTTGTAAAATCATTGTATGGATTAAAATAATCACCGAAGCTATGGCATGAAAATTTTGAAAAATTTATGTCTTCAAATGATTTCAAAATTAATGAATGTAACAAATGTCTTTACATTGAAACCACACTTAACAAATACGTGATCGTATGTCTATATGTTGTGATATGCTAATCATGAAAAATAATTAGAACATTATTACCTCAACCAAGAAAATGTTAGTAAAACGTGTTGACACGAAAGATATGGGAGTAACTGACGTGATATTAGGAATTAAAATCTCTAAAACATTTGACGATTTGTCATTGTCTCAATCACGCTATATTAAGGCTATACTTAAAACTTTTAAGGTGTATGACGATAAATCAGTTAAAATAACAGTGGACTTAAGTTTACACTTAGCCAAAAATATTGGTGATCCCGTATCTCAATTAAAAATATTCACCCATTATAGGTAGCTTGATGTATATTACCAACTGCAAGAGTCCTGATATAGCATATGTAGCCAACAAGTTGAGTAGATTTACATGTAATCCAAGTAATGACCATTGGAAAGCATTAACCCGAGTTCTTAAATACTTAAGACACTTGGTTAACTATGAAATATACTACTCAAGATATCATGCAGTGTTAGAAAGATATATCGATGAAAATTGGATATCTGATACAAATGATTCAAAGTCTACAAGTAGTTATGTATTTATCATTTGAGGCGGAGCTGTGTCCTTTAGATCATCTAAACAAACTTGTATATCTCGATTTACGATAGAATGTTAGTTTATTGTTTTAGATAAAACCGAAGAAGAAGCAGAATGATTTCGTAATTTTCTCAAGAATATTCCATGTTGGGAAACGTCAGTACCTGCGAATATACATTGTAATAATCAATCGGCAAGTGCAAGGGTACAAAATAATAGGTATGATGGTATATCTCGACATATTCGTCAAACACACAATACTTTAAACAGTTGATATCGAATGGTATAATCTCAATTAACTATGTTAAATCAAAGGAAAATATAGCGGATCATTTGACGAAAGAACTAACTACAGATCAAGCATACCATATTTTCTAGGGGAATGGGCCTAAAGCGTGTCGAATGGAATCAATATAGCGGAAACTCAACCTTGTAAATTGGAGATTCCAAGATCTTGATTCGACGGGACAACTAAGTTATGAAAGATTCATTGTAAAACACTTACTCCCATTCTTACAACCTAAAGTACTAAATAACAAGTATATAAGGATAAGTGTATACTTTTAATGATTCCTATATCTTGAAAGAAAACAAGAAATGTATGATACAATATTATAGGAGATCACCTATATAAGTGTGGAGTGGGCCACTTCTACGAGAATTTGAGGTTTAAATTCTCTTAAAATGCTTATGAAACCAAGAGTTGTTCAGAGCCAAAATGAACACAATCATGAGAATCGAAATGGTTAGATGAGTTATGGCATTGGTACAGTGGTTTTGATTTACACAAATTGTTAAATGGTTAATGACATCGCGTTCACCATTTAACTTAGTAAATTCGATTGTATTCAACTAAGGAAGGTTTAAAGTCACAAGCCACCTATCCTTATGATATAGCTTGTCGTGTGTACTCCTTTATTAGATTCTGCATATCATTTGCATTTTTAGATTGTATATTGTGGAATTTTCATTCATGTGGGTGATTTTTGGAATTAGTTAAGTATAAATAAAACCATAAAAGAGTGGCTTTCGTGTCAATTTCGACCAAATATTCGGGCTTGATCCGAAAGTCAAATTATGAAATAAATAAACTAACTTCTTCAACTCTTCAAGTAGATCGCCATGGTATATTTGGAATCTCCAAACCAATTCCAAGTGAATGAGAAATTACAGTCTAAAGTCGGAAGAAAATATGGAAAACTGGCTGGAAATTTGTCTACTCCATCGCTCGCCTAGCACTTGAGCGAGGAGGTTGCCGCTCGAGCGACATGCTAGCAACGGAGTCTCTGTTTCCGACTCAAGCGACACAAGGGCAAAGCTACAACCGCAAATGCTACGACAATTGGCAAAGATTGCTGAGTTTGAGGCGCAACACTTCACTTTCAACATTTCCTTCTCTATAAATTAGACCCTTGGGACATCCCTTTATTCATCCCAATGATATGCAATCATAGTATAATATTAAATTCATCTTTTCCTAGTTTAAATTCTGCATTAAAAAAAAAAGTTATTTTTCCATTTTTCATAAATGGAGTACAAAAACCAATTTTTCAATTCGTTGATCTTGTGTTTTAAAGTCTAACATAAGAAGTTTGTCTTTGTATATTGAGAGTCGATTGACTTCATCCGTGGGCATCGTTGAGAGGGGCAAAACAGACTCAAAGAGTTCAACTCTTACCTCGACTTTGCATACATTTCTTTTGGCGTTGCTTTGACATTCTTTTCATTTGGTGTTTTTCAATCATATCCTTACCGTTACTCCGTCTAATTTTTGGTAAGGTTCGTAAGTTGATTTTTTGGTTTAAGCCCCTGTTTGGTACACATTATTTTTTTCATTCTCATTCTTCTACTCATTTTCAACCACACATTCTTCAATAAAATAATATTTTCCATCACATCAATAACTTTTCCTTCATTTTTAACCACATATTCTCCATCAATCTACTATTCAATAATACATTCTTTCCAAAGAATGTGTCCCAAACACACCCTCATCACTCAAATCCATCATATTATCCAACACAATAAACTCCAAATATACCTTCAAAACAAAATTCTGGTCACACCGAAATTCTTGACATATATCCCAATGAACTTCAGCGTCTCGCATATTTATAGAGAAGGAAATGAAGTAGCTGATGCATTAGCTAATCACGCGGTCACTTGCATTTCTGAACAATGAGGGCACACTAGGCATTTTTCTTTTGATCCGACTGTTCCATAATTTTCGCTTAGATTATTTTGATTGGTCAGCCTAATCACTTGTAACAGTTGATGCATTTGTTTGTTTTTCATTTAATAAAATGGCTACAGAGCGCACATGATGAGGGTGCTATGAAGATGTCAATCTAGTTGGAATGTCTCAGTGCATCTAGTGATTCCTTCCATCAGCAACTTCATTCAAAAATCGTGTATAAAGTTTTGTTTAGCTCTGTGTTAGGAGAGTGTTGGAACTTCTACCTGTTAGACAGAGTTTTGCCAAGGCCTATTTTCTTACGCATAGTCGGGCCGGAGTGAAACAAGGGATCAAAGCGCTGAGGTGCAAAGTCTTTAGGATCGGATGCAATTCCGAAGCTGGCACATGTTGCACTGGTCCATGTTTCTGACGTCCCAAGTCTTCATCACGTGCCATTTTCTAGTTTAATTTAGAGTTCTACTATCCAATTCCACACGTCCATACTCAATTTATTTAAAAAATAAGCATATATATACACTTTGTTATTGCTAATTTACAGCCCACTAGAACCAATCAACTTTGTTAAACCAAAAGTTATGGCCATGGCCAACCAACCACCAATCAAAGCCCTTATGGAGGACCTTGCCGCAGGTGCCCTCCCTAACGCCGCCCCTAACCACGCAAACACCACCAAAGCAAGGCTAACGGCGGCGGCCACCACCCACATCCTCTCCTTGTACTCTCTTATGAAGGAGGCAGCCAATAGTGGCACCATTGCACCCGCTGAAAATGTTAGGGCTGATACAGCAGCTGCTTGTATTGGATTAGGCAAACCCTCTTTCTCTCCTTTTGTACTTTCTATACCGACTGCTCTTTCCTTTTCTCTCTTCGTTTGAGCCATTTCAACGTCGAGTTGCGAGTAAACCGACACGAATTCGCCTATGGCCATGGAACATGCTCCGCCAACTAATCCGGCAAACCCTGTCGATGGGAAATTCACCACCACACTTTAATAAATGGATCAACGAAAATAAAATCAATAGAAGAGCAACAAAAAAAAAAATTCTGCTAAATTTCCTTATTTGAGTCAAATATATACCCAATACCTGTTAGGATCATGACCTTTATGTCTTGTTTTACCGCTCCAACACCCATCATCAATGATGCTGTTGAAACTAGCCCATCGTTGGCGCCAAGAACCGCAGCACGGAGCCATTGGGATCGTTTAGAGTAGTCAAATTCCTTTACTTCTAGGTCAAGGCTCATTTGTCTCTCCACGTCATTGACAGGAGGGAGAGAAAATTTGGTTTCTTGATTAGAAGCCATGAAATGGGATGAAAACTTAGTAATCAAGAAATGTAAAGAGGATTAGAATGCAAATGAACGTGATGCAAAACGCCTTGTTCTTAATTATTTATAAAGCAGAAATTTTGATTTTAGTGGAGACAAAATGTAAGGTTTGGGCACCACCATTGACAAGTTTCGCGCCTTAAAGAAACTAAACTTACTTGGTGTTTGGGAAAATCAACATTTCTATGAAGTGATTTCACATGCTTGATCTTGGAACATTGATGTAGCTGTTGAGCCACTTCATTTTAAAGTACGTGGGAAGTGATGGGATGAACTTTTTTTTTTTTTAATCATACTTGCAATTTCATTATTGAATGAGTAGCGTGGTAATCAAGACCTTAGTTTTGTTTGATCGACCAAAGATTTTATTTTCAATAGATTTACATTTTATATCTTCAACACGCCCTCGATAGCATTCCGAATTCATTTTTTCGTAAACGTCCGATGTTTCAAACTTTCTTAATTATATAGGTGACGTAAGACATCCAAATTTAGGGTTAATTTTACAAACGGTCATTGAAGTTACACGAAAATAACAAAACGGTCACTAAAGTTTAAAACTTGCAGAAATTGTCACTAAAGTTTCATGCGATTTCAAAAACTGTCACTGAACTTAGTTTTAGTACTATTATGTATTAATTCAAACCTAAATCACCAAAACACGTGGACATCGAAGATGGAAGATCTCAAGTGCAAAATTCAACTTAAAATCTCCCCTACCCCAAACCCAGACCACCACTTTTCGCGCCCCATTCCACCACATTCCGGCCATCGAACCAACACACCATCTTGAAGTCCTCGCTTCCCTCTACGCAACCTACCCAAGAACTGCCCTACCTCCGACGATGGTGGCCAGAATTTCGTCCCAAAGTGGGCCTCTCGCACAGCCGGCATTTTTGTTTTGTGTTGTGTGAGAGGCCCACTTTTGGACGAAATTTCACCACTTTCCGTCCACCAAAATCATCGGACCAACACACCATCTTGAAGCCCTCACTTCCCTCTACACAACCCACCCAAGAATCATCCCTAAATCCTCAAGAAAGTGGCCGGAATTTCGTCCCAAATTGGGCTGCTCGCACAGGAAAAACTGCCAGCCGCCACTTTGGGATGAAATTTCGGCCATTATCTGGAGGACTTTAGGAGCGATTCTTGGGTGGGTTACATAGAGGACAACGAGGGCTTCAAGACTGTGTGTTGGTCCAGTGGTTTTGGTGGCCGGAAAGTGGTGGAATTTGGTTCCAAAGTGGCGGCTGGCATTACTGTCCTATGCTAGCCCGCCACTTTGGGACGAAATCCAGCCACTTTCCGATGGATTTAGGAGCGATTCTTGGGTAGGTTACTTAGAGGACAGTGACGGCTTCAAGACGGTGTGTTGGTCCGGTGGTTTTGGTGGCCGAAAAGTGGTGGAATTTGGTCCCACAGTGGCGGCTGGCATTGCTGTCATGTGCGACTTTAGGACTAAATTCCGGCTACTTTCCGGCGAATTTGGGAGTGATTCTTTGGTGGGTTACGTAGAGGACGGCGAGGGCTTTAAGGTGGTGTGTTGGTCTGATGGTTTTGGTGGACGGAAAGTGGTGGGATTTCATCCAAAAGTGGGCCTCTCATACAGCACAAAACTGCCGACTGTGTGAGAGGCCCACTTTGGGACGAAATTCTGGCCACCACCGACTGAGGTAGGGGCAATTCTTGGGTAGGGTGCATAGAGGGAAGTGAGGGTTTCAAGATGGTGTGTTGGTTTGGTGGTTTTAGTGGCCGGAATGTGGTGGAATGAGGCTCGAAAAGTGGTGGTCTCGGCCTGGGTTTGGGTTTGGGGTTGGGGAGATTTTAAGTTGAATTTTGCACTTACGGTCCTCCAGCTTCTATGTCCACGTGTTTTGGTGCTATAGGTTTGAATTAAAACATAATAGTTGGGTTGGGGAGATTTTAAGTTGAATTTTGCACTTAAGGTCCTCCAGCTTCTATGTTCACATGTTTTGGTGCTATAGGTTTGAATTAAAACATAATAGTACTAAAACTAAGTTTAGTGACCATTTTTGAAACCGCGTGAAACTTCAGTGACCATTTCTGCAAGTTTTAAACTTTAGTGACCGTTTTGTTATTTTCGCGTAACTTCGGTGACCGTTTGTGAAATGAACCCTCCAAATTAAGTGTATATCTTCAATAGTTTCTAACACATAATGAATCTAATTAATGTATATCAAGTAATATTCGATCTAATTAAACTTTATCTTTTTTTTTCTTTAACTAAAGAATATTTCTTGATTAGTGGGGAGTCTGTAAATTATGTGGATAATTCAAAGTTAGTCCGCATAATCAAATGTGGATTGCTGAAGAGGAAAACATTATAGGGGATGAGACATAAAGAGTGGGAGAGAAATAATAATTGTAAATTGAATGCAGTGTGGATTGCACACGAATGCCACTATCTCGAGACTTTGATATAAATAGATAATTTCACAAAACTTTTGGGAATGACACAAATCATGCACCAAACACTAGCTCGTGAAAGTTCCCCGCAATCAATTTTCTCTATGATTTTATATTTAAGCCATGTTTGATTGCCACATTTTCCATGAAAAATGTCACATCGGAAGAAAACGAATTTCACTTTGGCCGTTTGATTGTAGCGTGGAAATAGAAATCGAATTTCAAGGTATAACCATTTTAAACTGCATTTTCGTTATTTTCATAGAAAACGAATTCATATAAGTTTGGTGGATTTTTATTTTCCAATTAACATGAAATTGAAACTCATTTCCACATTTACCTATCAAACGGACCTTTAGTTACTAACTTGAGCATAAGAGTGTACACAAAAAATTTGTTTGCACATTTTCTAGGTGATTTTGGATGTTTTTTAAGTTGGTTTATGTTTGGTAAAAAAATATTTGTAGATAAATTGTGGATCTGATGGAATGTGTGGATAAAAAGTTATGAAATGTACGAAATGTGTACATAAGAAATATATTTGACCAACTTATTAATTTGAAAAACTAAGGCAAACAGGCACTTACTTTTTACGAGAATTGACGCCGAGGTAAATATTACCACAACTTGCAAGTCATCATTGTAGCAAGAGCCTTAAAATACATACATATGTAGACTATGAAGAGTTGGATCGCAAGTACTAAATATTGAATGCATAATTTCAAGCACTTGAGTCGTGTTTATTGTCTTCAAAATATAGATTAAGCGCGTGTTTGGTTCAGATAAAAAAATTGATAAATATCTAAGTTAAAATCAACAATTAATTTTAATCTTAAATTTCATGGACTCACATTTTTTATCAACTTTTTAACCATATTTTCATTAACTTTCATCAAAATCTGCTAAGATGTATAAGCCCAAATATAAAAAGTCGAGATTGGGCGTAGCATAATATTTTCTACGTACAATCTAATAGATTGAAGGTTTTATAGAGTTGTTGAGTTAGAGCATGTCACGATATAGAAAAATTGCAAGTTAGAAAAAAAGTGGGGAAGATGAATATTCACTTCAGGTTTAAGCCATTCACAAATATTAACCACTCTGGATGTCTAGTTTATGCACCTTCTCAGTATCACGATTGAGTTATCCCAATCGAGCAGAAAAAATAAATTATTCGTATTCAACCTTTAAAATTCAGAAACAAGTACATTCTCTAGCCTTTTATTATAAAATTTCAAATTCAATCCTCAAAGTTTGAAATTACATGGTCCTTATGAAAATATGCATCTTTTCGAACTTGTTGAAAACGACCCACGTTGAGAGCCAAAATTTAGCTTCACGAGATTTGGACTTCTTCGATCATTAGGGACTTAAAGTGCAACTTTATTGAACCATTTTAGGAATTAATTGATTCTAAAATCATTAGGTTTACTGTAAGTTATAAAATAAGTAGTTGAAATTAAGATTCACCATTCGAATCGAATATCATGATTGTGTACAAATTCGGTATGCACGAATACTTGACCTTATCTATAGAATTAGATCAATCAATTTTGAAAAAAAAAAATGCACCCTTTCTTTAGTTATACTCAAACATTGCATGTATTGTCTTGGATTTAGATATCGTATATTCTAAACATCTAAATTTGAATTTTTTTTCATTTTTTATTAGAGTTTCAAAATTTGGTCGAAGACGCCTTATATGTTTATATTTAAATCGTTTTGTTCTTAATAATTGGGTTGTTTTATTATTCATTAAAAATGCTGCAATATTATTCTATTTTTATCATTATATTGCAATTTATATTTCACTTTCTATATAATTTGACATGGTCATTGGCCTTTAGATTGCTTTACTATTTTTATAGTATTAGTTATAGTTGAACGTACGTTGCACTTTATTTTGAAATGTTTGTATGTGCTATAAAAATAATAATGTAAGATGCGAGAATATAAAAAATAATTAATACAAATTGTTTATGAGGAATGAACTTTTGATTCAAATTAAATAAAAATCAGTATGTGAAAACAATTTAAAGGGATGTACGATTCTTATTTTTCTCAAAATACATTTTTTTCTCTCTTCTTTTCAACCACGCGTTCTTTATTAAAATAATATTACATGCAAATTAAAAAATTTTCCTTCTTTTTTAATCGCTCGTTTTTCATTAATCTAATCAATCTACTATTTCAAAATATATTCTTAAAAAATAATGGGGGCTCAAACACCTCCTAAATAGTTGAAGAAGTTAATTAGAATAGTCTCTCTATTTACTCTTTTGATCTGAACTGAACATTAAACGAATATCATCATTTATTCATATTCACTTAGTATGCATTGAATATATCAATTAAAATTATTTATTATAAATATGCAATATGTCCCCTCATTTATTTTTATTTGTATCTTAACATTTATTAAATAAAGAAAATTCTAAAAATATTTATCTTTTGTTCCAAATTTTTTTTAATGAACTTAATTTACTATTCAATCAATTGAAATGAATCTGTCGAATGTACATTGATTATAACTAAATAATTAACAAAAA